GAGAGAGAGAGAGAGAGAGAGAGAGAGAGAGAGAGAGAGAGAGAGCGAGGAGAGAGAGAGAGAGCGAGAGAGAGCGAGAGAGAGAGAGAGAGAGAGAGAGAGAGAGAGAGAGAGAGAGAGAGAGAGCGAGAGAGAGAGAGAGAGAGAGAGAGAGAGAGAGAGAGAGAGAGAGAGAGAGAGAGAGAGAGAGAGAGAGAGCGAGAGAGAGAGAGAGAGAGAGAGAGAGCGAGAGAGTGAGAGAGTGAGAGCGAGAGAGAGAGAGAGAGAGAGAGAGAGAGAGAGAGAGAGAGGAGAGAGAGAGAGAGAGAGAGAGAGCGAGAGAGAGAGAGAGAGAGAGAGCGAGAGAGAGAGAGAGAGAGAGAGAGCGAGAGAGTGAGAGAGTGAGAGCGAGAGAGAGAGAGAGAGAGAGAGAGAGAGAGAGAGAGAGAGAGAGAGAGAGAGAGAGAGAGAGCGAGAGAGAGAGAGAGAGAGAGAGAGCGAGAGAGTGAGAGAGTGAGAGCGAGAGAGAGAGAGAGAGAGAGAGAGAGAGAGAGAGAGAGAGAGAGAGAGAGAGAGAGAGAGAGAGAGAGAGAGAGAGAGAGAGAGAGAGAGAGAGAGAGACTACACGGCTGCAGATAGGGTGACAGTTGACACTAATTTAATATAATGGGGGATTTATTAGATCATACCAAACAGAGAGAGAGTAGGGAGTCACTGCAGCTCGAGTAGGGTGTGAACACAAGACAACGAGGCCAGTATTGGAGCCGCACCCCTAAATAGGTGATGAGTTACAATAACTTGGCTAAAGTATGTTGACCAGACCACACACTAGAAGGTGAAGGGACGACGACGTTTCGGTCTGTCCTGGACCATTCTCAAGTCGATTTGTGATGAAGTAGATGCAGGCAATAAATAGGCAAGAGAGAGGTGAGGAGCAAAGTGTAGTAGTTGGAATAGTAGTAGGAATAAGAACTGCAGAGGGCCTATTGGCCCATACGAGGCAGCTCCTATTATAACCACCGAATGAGAAGGAGATAGTAATAGGAATAAGAAGAGGATAGCAAGGGAGCGTAAGAGAAAACAATGAACAGTAAAAGAGAGAAGAGAGAAAGAAAAGGAAAGAGAAAGAAAGATAAATGGAAGGGGTAAGCTTATGTTAAGTCACGTTTGTTAGAAAGTTTAGAGCATTTGAGTATATACTGTGAAAGGGAAGAGTCCACAGCAACAAAGCTAGGACTCAGGTTCATGTTGGGTACATTGTGTATAAGAGCCGATTCTACAAGACGGCGTCTGTGTAGAGTAGAGGCAGGAAAGATTATTTTGGAGGAAGACCAATCAATAGGATGATTAGAATCCCTAACATGACAGAAGAGAGCATTGTTAGTGTCTGCAGACTTAACACTTCTCTTGTGTTCTTTAAGTCTGTCATTCAGTGTACGGCCATTATCGCCAAAGTCTTGGAGAGGACAAGACGAACAGGAAAGAGAGTAGACACCAGCAGCATTAGAAGCAAGAGGAGCAGTGTGAACTAGATTGCTACGAAGTGTGTTAGCTTGTCGAAAGGCGAGCTTTATGTCAAGAGGACGAAAGGCATTGGTAAAAGTTTTAAGTTCAGATATGAAGGGAAGACATAGTACAGTGCTACGTGTGTTGGAAGCTGGTTTAGAATGAAAGAACATCCTCATCACAAATCGACTTGAGAATGGTCTCAAGTCTCAATGGTCTCAAATCGACTAAGCCCCGGAAGCACCTCAAGGTATGGTCCAGGACGGACCGAAACGTCGTCGTCCCTTCACCTTCTAGTGTGTTGTCTGGTCAACACCTAAATAGGTGATGCTGAACCCTTCTCCAAGATCAAGATGTCTTCAGGGTGATCTCCTACGTAAATTGCAAGCACTGAGACTGCCGAAGTCGGCTGTTGTTCAGTCAGGTAGTGGTTGGGGAGGCTGTCAGGCTGTACACAAGTAACAGTCTGGTGCAACAACCACAGCTCTCTTTAAGGTTTAGAATCCCCAACCAGCTCCCACATATTTTCCTGGCATAAGAGTATGTGATGGTGGAGCGTGGTGGCTGCTCCTGTGCCTGTACCAATGTGCAGGGGGGAGGGGGTGATATGTTAAACTGGCCTGGCTTCAGTAGAGGCCTCCTGTCGTCCTGTGGGTCCCAGGTTGTATAACATATACCATATCGTGATCCAGAGGTAAGGTGCTCGGCTTAGGAGTTCCCAGGTCGAGGGTTCGAATCCCTTACATTGCTCCAATTAGTACATATGATCGTAACGGGAATTGACAAAATAGACTTAGAAGTGTAGTTCAAAGGTAGGAAGAGGAGCACGAGAGGACATGGATGGAAACTTGGAGACATGAGCCAGAGAGATGGCACGAAGACCTTTAGTTATACAGCCGCCAGGACCTGGGCACCGAGTCATGGTATTAAACACCCTCTTATGGAGCCACGTTTCTTCGAAATTGAAATTAGTGGTTCAATACCCACTAATCTGAAAGCTAAATCTTAAATAGCCAAGAGTTAAGGAATAACGAGGTGAGTGACAGTACTGGAGGAGCCGCTGCAGGAACAAGGGGTTCCCACAAGGGTCGCCCCTGGGGTCCCTTACTGTTCTTAATATATGTGAATATACGACCTCACTCCCTCGCATGAGCCATGTCTATGTTTGCGGACAATGTAAACATAATGAGAAATGCAAAAACCGAAAAGGACTGCACAAAGTTACGGGACGACCTCGACAAACTCCAAGAGTGGGCAAAGAAATGGTTGCTGGAGTTCAATCCTAACAAGTTTAAGGTAATGAAGATGGAAACGGGACAAAGGAGGCTAAAAGGCGTCTACACCATAAGAGGAAAGTTACTACAGCCTTCAGAGTGAAAAGGATTTCAGATGTGATGTAATTCCAGCACTAACACCAGAGAGACACACAAACAGGGAACAGTGGCAGGATATGGGACGCTGGCACACAAAGTTTCGTACTCCCACTTCTTCGTACCCCCACCCCCTCGTACCCCCCCACCCCCTCGTATCCCCAGCCCCTCGTACCCCCACCCCCTCGTACCCCCACCCCCTCGTACCCCCACCCCCTCGTACCCCCACCCCCTCGTACCCCCACCCCCCTCGTACATACACCCCCTCGTACCCACACCCCCTCGTACCCACACCCCCTCGTACCCACCCCCCCCCCTCGTACCCCCACCCCCCCTCGTACCCCCACCCCCTCGTACCCACACCCCCTCGTACACCCACCCCTCGTACCCACACCCCCTCGTACACCCACCCCTTCGTACCCACACCCCCTCGTACACCCACCCCCTCGTACCCACACCCCCTCGTACACACACCACCCCCTCGTACACACACACCCTCGTACCCCCACCCCCTCGTACCCCACCCCTCGTACCCCCACCCCCTCGTACCCCCCCCCCTCGTACCCCCACCCCCTCGTACCCACACCCCCTCGTACCCACACCCCCCTCGTACCCCCACCCCCCCTCGTACCCCCCACCCCCTCGTACCCCCCCACCCTCTCGTACCCCCCACCCCCTCGTAACCACACCCCCTCGTACCCCCACCCCCTCGTACCCCCACCCCCTCGTACCCCCACGTACCCCCACCCCCTCGTACCCCACCCCCTCGTACCCCCACCCCCTCGTACCCCCACCCCCCCGTACCCCCACCCCCTGATCGTACCCACACCCCCTCGTACCCCCACGTACCCCCACCCCCTCGTTCCCACACCCCCTCGTACCCCCCCCCCCTCGTACCCCCACCCCCTCGTACCCCCACCCCCTCGTACCCACACCCCCTCGTACCCCCCACCCTCCTCGTACCCCCACCCCCTCGTACCCCCACCCCTCGTACCCCCACCCCCTCTTATACCCCCCACCCCCTCGTACCCCCACCCCCTCGTACCCCCACCCACTCGTACCCACACCCCCTCGTACCCCCACCCCCTCGTACCCCCACCCTCTCGTACCCCCACCCCCCTCGTAACCACACCCCCTCGTACCCCCACCCCCTCGTACCCCCACCCCCTCGTACCCCCACCCCCCTCGTACCCCCACCCCCTCGTACCCCCACGTACCCCCCCCCCCTCGTACCCACACCCCCTCGTACCCCCACCCCCTCGTACCCCCACCCCCTCGTACCCCCACCCCCTCGTACCCCCACCCCCTGATCGTACCCACACCCCTCGTACCCCCACCCCCTCGTACCCCCACCCCCTCGTACCCCCACCCCCTCGTACCCCCACCCCCTCATACCCCCACCCCCTCGTACCCCACCCCCTCGTACCCCCCCCCCCCCCCCTCGTACCCCCACCCCCTCGTACCCCCATCCCCTCGTACCCCCACCCCCACCCCCCTCGTACCCCCACCCCCTCGTAACCCACACCCCCTCGTACCCCCACCCCCTCGTAGCCCCACCCCCCTCGTACCCCCAACCCCCTTGAACCCCCACCCCCTCGTACCCCCACCCCCTCGTACCCCCATCCCCTCGTACCCCCACCCCCTCGTACCCCCACCCCCTCGTACCCCCACCCCCACGTACCCCCACCCCTCGTACCCCCAACCCCTTGAACCCCCACCCGGCCTACATATAGCCATTGTATTTTAACATACACTTTACCTAAGACCAAAATGTGACGTCCAAAAAATGATAGTGGGTGGCAGAAGAAACATAATGTCAGTTATGACTGTTGACAATGTATGACAATTATCACTTGTTGACCACCATACACAGTTCGGTAGTCAACAAGTGGAATGTACAGCCAGTACAAGCTGTAGAAGCCACCTCCATCTACATCATTACTACGTCAGAATAAATTGTCAGGTAACAGTCACAATAAGGCCAGTAGGCGGGGAACCAAGAGCTACACCTCACTTCGCAGTATGTTCCTGTACAGGGGAGGAAATTCCTGTTACTTCAAGTAACAGGAATTTCAGGTTTTTCAGGTAAGTAACAATTCGTGTTACTTACGTGTTCTAGGTAAGTGGTGGTAATTAAGTACTCACCAGTTGCCGTTGAGGAAGTATGTGGCGGTGTCGTTGTCCCTGAGAGCCAGGTAATTGGCGGCGTCTCCCTCTTCTTTCACCTTGATGTTACGGGCGTCACGAGGGAAGGTGACGATGGTGACGTAGCCGGAGCTCCTGGCCAGGGTGAAGACGCCCCGTGTGGTCACGCACTGTGTCCCGTCACCGTGACACAGGCCGCACCGGTCCTCCTGAGCCCCGCCCTCTATAGTCCAGTCGCACGCCACCCGCTGTAACACACACACACACACACACACACACACACACACACACACACACACACACACACACACACACACACACACACACACACACACACACACACACACACACACACACCAGAAAACATATATTGGTCATTTGCTAATTAACTCCTATCACTTTAGACAGTACTGTGCCCAGCAACTGTCAGTGAGAGAGCATATTGTGTGTGTCAAATATTAAGTCAGTAAAACAATTTAATTCTTATATTTTTTGTTTCAATATGATGTAATTTATTATTTTAACTATCCTTATTAAATCCGAAGGCAGAGAGTAATGTGCTGAACAAAACAAATCTACTTTCGATTTCTTGAAGAAAAAGAATATTGAGGAGGACAAAGAAGGGACGAGGATGCCTCTATGGAACATACACAGCCCATCAACATGCAACTGAGACTGGCATAAGCCACCAAATCAATCTACAATCAAATGACTGTAGCCTGATATATTTAATGACATAATATTCCCGATAAATACATCTACAAGACTAATGAAGGAGAGGAAGAACTCACGCAGCACCGGCACACACACCTGGGGCCAGATTCACGAAAGCACTTACGAAACTGTACATCTTTTCTCAATCTTTGGCGGCTTTGTTTCCAATTATTAAACAGTTAATGAGCTCCGAAGCACCAGGAGGCTGTTTATAACAATAACAACAGTTGAATGGGAAGTTTTCATGCTCGTAAACTGTTTAATAAATGTAACCAAAGCTGTCAAAGATTGAGGAAAGATGTACACGTTCGTAAGTGCTTGCGTAAATGCTTTCGTGAATTTGGCCCCTGGATGGCTCCCAGCACCCACACTGTCCCTTGTAGTTACCAACACAGCTCACCACTATCCTACCGCCCCGCCCACTCTCACCATGTCCAGGGACCAGGTGTTTATGCAGATATAAATCATCAGGACGAGTAGGATCAACATGACTGAGATCAAAATACTTTTTCTACGTAGCAAGACCAAACAAAGCTTGGGATGTGGGAGGAATTGGGAGAGTGCGGAAGTGACGGCGCCGAGCACCCGCAGTAAGAGGGGGGGGGGTTAAAAGGCGTAGTTGTTACAATGAGAGATGGAGCCACTTCAGGGGGATGAGGTGGTCACCATTGGGGTCTTGGAGCTCAACCCTGTCACAGAGGTGGCAGGGGAGCGGAGAGAGGTAGTCGGCAGAGTCGGAGGAGCAGATTGGTCAGGGCCTAATGTAACAGAGATTGCAGAGCCTGGCGTTCCATCACAGTCCGACTCATGGGCCTGGTCGCTTACCTCACGAGTCTGAGAAGTTAAATGACGGTCAGAGAACGGCATAAAAACGAACAGGTAAAAATATAATCCACGAAAAAGCCCCCATACCCACCATGGAGCCACGATTAGAGGATAGGACACCCTACAAGATGGGGGCCTCCCAGGGGTGCATCGTGGATATACACCCTGCATTCACCACCTTAAGAACCGTCAGTCCGTCGAGATTGGGCTCAGCAATGGAGGCCAAGTTTGACAATAAAAGCTTCCCCCTCGCTCGACAACTTCAAGTACCACAGTTCTACTGGTGAGAGAGTGTGCCTCCCCAAACACCTGACGTCAAAACATACGAAGACATCGGAAAGAATAATCAAGAATAGCAAAAAGTCGGCAGGAAGGTAACAACCAGAAAGGAAATCAGGTTGGGAGGAAAATTGAAACATGAGAAAGAGGTAAAACCATCCAGCAAAATTTGTGAACACAGCAGCAGGAGCATAAGGCTTCAAAGGGACAGAGAACTGTCCCACGGATCATCACAGCCCGGCAGCCGCCCACCAAGCCCCCTCACGACGGCAGCCGCCCACCAAGCCCCCTCACGACGGCAGCCGCCCACCAAGCCCCCTCACGACGGCAGCCGCCCACCAAGCCCCCTCACGACGGCAGCCGCCCACCAAGCCCCCTCACGACGGCAGCCGCCCACCAAGCCCCCTCACGACGGCAGCCGCCCACCAAGCCCCCTCACGACGGCAATGGCTGGAAAGGGAGGGGTTGGGGGGGGGGGTAGAAGTAGTAATAGTGGTGGTGATAGTAGTGGTGGTAGTAGAAGGAGGGGGTGGTGTTAGTACTAGTAGTCTCCATGCACATCTCAGTATTAACTAAATATTTATGACCGTATCTGGGAGTCGTCCTCAGTCCCTGAGGACTGGCTTGTGGCCGTTATTCTTCCTGTTTGGAAACATGTTCTCTAGGAACATCCTCTAAGGACTTCTGCCCCATTGCCCTAACGAGTTACATCTGCAAACATTTTCCAACGTATGGTCAATGTCTGTCTGATGTGGTTCTTAGAAAACTATCACCGCCTCTCCTTTTCTCAATTTTGCTTTCGCAAGTGTCGCAGCACGACTGATGTCTTAGTGAAGTTGGAGGTCTATATTTGTACTGTCTTTGCTGTGAAGACCTTCGTGGTTGCTGTTCTTTTCGACCTGGAAAAGGCATCTGACACCACCTGGTAATATCGTATTTTGTAACAAATCTGTTCTTTTGCCCTTCATGGTAATCTCCCTCTCTTCCTCCAGAGCTTCCTCTCTAGTCATTCCTTTAGAGTATGGCTTGGTACTGCTCTCTCTGCCTCTTTTCGACAATAATAAAGTGTACCCAAAAGGTACACTGAGCACTACTCTTTTCCCTGGTTGCCCTCAATGGCCTTCTTTCCTTCCTTCCCTTTGGCATGTTCTCAGCTCTATATGTTGACGATCTTACCCTTTGCTGTCAAGGTGATGACTCGCCTTTCCTCTAATGGCGGCATCAACTTCCGATTGATGCCTTGTCGTCCTGGCCCACCAATCATGGCTTCAAGGTCTTTACAACTAAGACTTGCGCTATGACCATTACTCTGAAGCAGGTTGTTTTCGGCCCCCCTCTGTCTCTTTATGGTAATCCTCTTTTGTATAAAGAGTCTGCTAAACTTCTGGGGTTATTCTTTGGCACTCGTTTGTCTTGGTCACCCCCTATCTCTTACCTCCAAGTCGAATGCTCTAAGGCTCTTAACTTTCTTAAGGTCTTGTCACATACTTCCTGGAGGAGCTCGTAGATGCACTCTCCTCTCTGGTGCTGTCTAAATTTAATTATGGTTGCCCTGCTTACTCGTCTACCTCTCCTTCTACTTTTCGGTGTCTTGATACTCTTCATACTGAGTTATGCCTCAGCTCTGGTGCCTTTCGTTCATCCCCTACCCAGAGCCTGTATGTTGACACCGGGATCCTATCTCTACAGGATCGTCGTGATCGCTACTGTCTTCGCTACTTAGCGCGGTACCTACAATACCCTCACTCTCGCTTATGTCGTGCTTTGACCATTACCCCCTCTTGTTCCCTTTCACCACCTTCCCCTTTCTGTACAATTGTCTCGCTTGCAAGGTTCTCTCTCAGTTCCTGTTACCAATATTTCTCCTCGTGTCGTAACATCCTTGCCCCCCATGTAGGGACCCACTTCCTAAGTTTTGCAAAATCATGACCCACATAGCAAAGGCTTCTACCGTTCCTTCAGTTCTGAAACGCCTTTTCCTTTCATACTTTTCTTCACACTCCAGCTCCGTTGCCGTCTTCACAGATGTGTCTTAGTGTGCCGACGGTGTAGGCTACTCCGTTGTATTTCCTGACCACGCCTATATATGTCACCTGCCTCCGGAGACTAGCATCTTCACGGCTGAACTTTATGCTATTTTCTATGCTCTTCGTCAACACCTCTCTTGCTGTCAACATTTCTTTGTCGGTGTAATTGACTCGCAGCGCCCGCATGGCTCTGAAGTCCTTTAATCCAGTCTATCCTGTGGTCGTCGATATTCAACAGTGGCTGTTTGATATGCAGGCGATGAGTTACAATAACGTGGCTGAAGTATGTTGACCAGACCACACACTAGAGGTTGAAGGGACGACGACGTTTCGGTCCGTCCTGGACCATTCTCAAGTCGATTGTGAACGGCGTCGTCCCTTCAACCTCTAGTGTGTGGTCTGGTCAGCTGTTTGATATCTCCGCCAGATTTAAGACTGAAGTTTTGCTGGGTTCCCAGCCATATTGGTGTGTCCTTAAATGAGCATCTGGACGCTGCCACTAAGGAGGCTATCCGCACTTGTTCTGTTTCCCGTAAAGGTGTTCTATTATTGTTTGGTGTGGTTGTAGCTCGCTTGTCGGTGGGAAGGAATGCACTCCAAGAGAGTTGGGCCTTTCTTCCTTTATTACTGAAATATACAAATCTCCACTGGCCACATACTAGCTAGAGTGTGCTCGAGTCCCCGGCTGGTGTTCTTCAACCTCCACCACAACTATCCCCCACCACTACCATCCCCAACACCACCATCACTACCACTACCATCACCACTACTAGGACTATCACCACCACTACCATCACCAACACCACTACTGCCACTATCACCACCACTACTACCACTATCACCACCACTACTACCACTATCACCACCACTACTACCATCACCACCACTACTACCACTATCACCACCACTACTACCACTATCACCACCACTACTACCATCACCACCACCACCACTACTACCACCAGCACTACTACCACCAGCACTACTACCACCACCACCACTACTACCACTATCACCACCACTACTACCACCAGCACTACTACCACCACCAGCACTACTGCCACTATCACCACCACTATCACTACCACTATTATCACTATCACCACCACTACTACCACTACCATCACCAACACCACCAGTACAACCATCACCACCACCACCACCACTACTACCACCACCACCACCACTACCACTACCAGTACTACCACTACCACCACCACTACTAGCACCATCAGAGACTTATGAGGAGGAGGGCCCGGGAAGGTGTGCAACACTGGGGGATGAGTGGCCGTGTCTGGGGCCTCGCCAACCATCAATTACGTCAAGCGAGTGTCAGGACCCTGAGGGTCACCCTTACTCTCTGGCGTCTGTCACGGTGCCCGCCCCACGCCCGCCCCACGCCCGCCCCCACGCCCAACCTACGCCTGCCCCCACGCCCAGCCCACGCCCACCCCCTGCTTGATACTTGCTTGATGGGGTTCTGGAAGTTTTTCTACTTCCCAAGCCCGGCCCGAGGCCAGGCTTGACTTGTGAGAGTTTGGTCCACCAGGCTGTTGCTTAGAGCAGCCCGCAGGCCCACATACCCACCACAGCCCGGTTGGTCCGGCACTCCTTGGAGGAAACTATCTCGTTTTCTCTTGAAAATGTCCACGGTTGTTCCGGCAATATTTCTTATACCCGCTGGGAGGACGTTGAACAACCGCGGTCCTCTGATGTTTATACAGTGCTCTCTGATTGTGCCTATGGCACCTCTGCTCTTCACAGGTTCAATCTTGCATTTTCTTCCATATCGTTCACTCCAGTACGTTGTTATTTTACTGTGTGGATTTGGGACCTGGCCCTCCAGTATTTTCCATGTCTATATTATTTGGTATCTCTCTCGTCTCCTTTCTAGTGAGTACATTTGGAAAGCTTTGAGACGATCCCAATAATTTAGGTGTTTAATCTCGTCTATGCGTACCGTATATGTTCTCTGTGTTCCCTCTATTTCAGCAATCTCTCCTGCTCTGAAGTGGGAAGTGAGTACTGAGCAGTACTCAAGACGGGACAACACAAGTGACTTGAAGAGTACAACCATTGTGATGGGATCCCTGGATTTGAAAGTTCTCGTAATCCATCCTATCATTTTTCTGGCTGACGCAATATTTGCTTGGTTATGCTCCTTAAACGTTAGGTCGTCGGACATCATTATTCCCAAATCCTTGACATGCTGTTTTTCTACTATGGGCAGATCGATTGTGTTTTGTACCCTGTATTATGTTTCAGATCCTCATTTTTGCCGTACCTGAGTACCTGAAATTTATCACTGTTAAACATCATGTTATGATGCCCACGCCCGCCCTACGCCCATCCCACGTCCGCCCCCACGCCCGCCCAACGTCCATCCCATGCCCGCCCCCACGCCCACCCCACGTCCGCCCCACGACCACCCTACGCCCGCCCCCACCCCACGACCACCCTACGCCCGCCCCACCCCACGACCACCCTACGCCCGCCCCCACGCCCACCCTACGCCCGCCCCCACGTCACCCTACGCCCGCCCCCACGCCCGCCCCCACGCCCACCCTACGCCCGCCCCCACGTCACCCTACGCCCGCCCCCACGCCCGCCCCCACGTCCACCCTACGCCCGCCCCCACGCCCGCCCCCACGCCACCCTACGCCCGCCCCCACGTCCACCCTACGCCCGCCCCCACGCCCGCCCCACGACCACCCTACGCCCGCCCCCACGACCACCCTACGCCCGCCCCCACGCCCACCCCACGCCCACCCTACGCCCGCCCCACGCCCGCCCCCACGCCCACCCCACGTCCACGCCCATCCCACGTCCGCCCCCATACCCACCCCACGACTACCCTCATGCCCACCCCACGCCCACCCCACGACCACCCCCACGTCCACTCCACGCCCACCCCACACTCACCCCACGACCACCCCACGCCCGACCCAAGCCCACCCCATGCCCGCCCCACGCCCAGCCCACGACCACCCTACACCCGCCCCCACACCGGCCCCCACGCCCGCCCAACGACCACCCCACACCCGCCCCCACGCCCGCCCCACGACCACCCCACGCCTGCCCCCACACCCGCCCCCACGCCCGCCCCACGCCCGCCCCACGACCACCCCCACGCCCACTCCACGCCCACCCCACACCCACCCCACGCCCGCCCCACCCCACGCACACCCCACGTCCGCCCCACCCCACGCCAACCCTCACGCCCACCCCACGCCCACCCCACGCCAATCCCCACGCCCACCCCACGCATACACCACGCCCATTCCCACGCCCACCACCACGCCCACCCCACGCCCACCCCACGCCCACCCCCACCTCACGCCCATCCCCACCCCACGCCCTGTTCAATCAGAGAGCACTGTATAAACATCAGAGGTCCGCGGTTGTTCAACGTCCTCCCAGCGAGCATCAGAAATATTGCCGGAACAACCGTGGACATCTTCTGGAGGTTATTATCTGGAGATGATTTCGGGGCTTTAGTGTCCCCGCGGCCCGGTCCTCGACCAGGCCTCCACCCCCAGGAAGCAGCCCGTGACAGCTGACTAACACCCAGGTACCTATTTTACTGCTAGGTAACAGAGGCATAGGGTGAAAGAAACTTTGCCCATTGTTTCTCGCCGGCGCCTGGGATCGAACCCAGGACCACAGGATCACAAGTCCAGCGTGCTGTCCGCTCGGCCGACCGGCTCCCCCAACTTCAAGAGAAAACTTGAAGGCGTGGGGCGTGAACTTTCGTGTAAGTTCACGTGGGGCGTGAACTTTCTCCCTTCAAGAGAAAACTAGACTGTTTTCTAAAAGAAGTTCCGGACCAACCGGGCTGTGGTGGGTATGTGGGCCTGCGGGCCGCTCCAAGCAACAGCCTGGTGGACCAAACTCTCACAAGTCAAGCCTGTCCTCGGGCCGGGCTTGGGGAGTAGAAGAACTTCCAGAACCCCATCATGCAGGTATGCCAACTAAGAGTACTGAAACAACAGACAGAGCCCCGGGGAAACAGTAAGGCGGGGCTGCAGAGCTAGATCACGCTCCTTGGAGGCACATGTAGGTAGCCACTAGAGGAGGCAGGAGGCAGGAGGCAGGAGGCAGGAAGCAGGAGGCAGGAAGCAGGAAGCAGGAGGCAGGAGGCAGGAGGCAGGAGGCAGGAGGCAGGAAGCAGGAGGCAGGAGGCAGGAGGCAGGAGGCAGGAAGCAGGAGGCAGGAGACAGGAGGCAGGAGGCAGGAAGCAGGAGGCAGGAGGCAGGAAGCAGGAGGCAGGAGGCAGGAGGCAGGAAGCAGGAGGCAGGAGGCAGGAGGCAGGAAGCAGGAGGCAGGAGGCAGGAGGCAGGAGGCAGGAGGCAGGAAGCAGGAGGCAGGAGGCAGGAAGCAGGAGGCAGGAGGCAGGAGGCAGGAGGCAGGAGACAGGAGGCAGGAGGCAGGAAGCAGGAGGCAGGAGGCAGGAAGCAGGAGGCAGGAGGCAGGAGGCAGGAAGCAGGAGGCAGGAGGCAGGAAGCAGGAGGCAGGAGGCAGGAAGCAGGAGGCAGGAGGCAGGAAGCAGGAGGCAGGAGGCAGGAAGCAGGAGGCAGGAGGTAGGAGGCAGGAGGCAGGAGGCAGGAAGCAGGAGGCAGGAGGCAGGAGGCAGGAAGCAGGAGGCAGGAGGCAGGAGGCAGGAGGCAGGAAGCAGGAGGCAGGAAGCAGGAGGCAGGAGGCAGGAGGCAGGAAGTAGGAGGCAGGAGGCAGGAAGCAGGAGACAGGAGGCAGGAGGCAGGAGACAGGAGGCAGGAGGCAGGAGGCAGGAGGCTCACCTTACAGGCGCCGTGGATACACAGGTCCCTGGAGCCCGGGTTGCACGGCGTGCCGTCCACCACTGTCTCCTCCAGCTTCACGCTGTAGAACTCGTTGTCAGGCTTACAGTCAAGCTGGCACGGCGAGTCTGTAGACACACGTACACACCCTCTTACTGTACGTACACACTGACACCACTAGCAGCATGTACGTACACACTGACACCACTAGCAGCATGTACGTACACACTGACACCACTAGCACCATGTACGTACACACTGACACCACTAGCACCATGTACGTACACACTTACACACTACACATTAATTCGTTACACACTAACGAGTGATTGCTCGTTACTAATCACTACAACAATCATAATCTCGTTAGAATGTGTGACAAAGACAACAATAACAATACTTAAGAGTTATCACACCTGAATGTCTTGGTTCCTAAGGTGGACCAGTGTTGTCCACCAGGGCTGGTACCGGGGGTGGTACTGGTAGTCTCTGGTTCCTAAGGTGGTCCAGTGTTGTCCACCAGGGCTGGTACTGGGGGTGGTACTGGTAGTCTCTCTCTCCCCCCGGTCATCACTATTGCTCTCCCCTCTCCCTGCCCTCCCACTCCTGCTCCCCTCTCCCTGCCCTCCCACTCCCGCTCCCCTCTCCCTGCCCTCCCACTCTCCCTTCTCCCTTCTCCCCTCTTCCCTGTCTGGACTATCACATCAAACAGACGTTCCCACACACACACACACACACACACACACACACACACACACACACACACACCTTCATTCACTCGAACCATCGGAGCCTCCAGCAGCCACAGACCACACAAGCAACAGCTCACAGCTGTATCTTTCTTTCTCTCTTCTGCCCCTCACTCTCGCTCTCTCTCTCTCTCTCTCTCTCTCTCTCTCTCTCTCTCTCTCTCTCTCTCTCTCCCTCTCTCTTTAACTAAGACTAAGGTTTAGGGTCCATAGGAGCTGTCAAATGAATTGCGTAGTGCAACTGCAAGCAAGAGCTGTTATCCTACCTCAGCTTACCTGAAGCCTGCTCATAGAGACTCATATATTTCATGTGAATATTCTGGCATCCACCACTGACCAGAGAGACAGCAAATACTGGAAGCTATACTCACAAGACAAAAGACCCGCCCTAAATATACCCGAGCAATGACTTGGATACCTTGCCTACGCTGAGACCCAGACCTCGCCACACAGCGCCGGGGTAACATCATCTCCACCCAGTTCTCCCCGTCCACCGCCTTACCCAGTGTTCGACGGGCTTCCATCCCCATTATTCCTCTATTTCTTTACCTGTGTGTGATTACTTCATCTTACCCACACAACTTCATCTCTTTCACATGTGTATTTAAGATCAAGTTACACCTTGTATATTCATTCCTTACCTCAAGATGTTCCAGCACGGAACACAACATTGTAGAAAATATACCCTTCTATAATCATTAGTTATTATTGACCACTTCACCAACAATAATCATTGGTGAGGTGGCCACAGTACTGTGTACGTTTAGGGGTGACCCTGACCAGCGTGGGTTCGAATCCTGGCCACGTCATTTAGAGTTCATACTCTGTCGAGACGTGTCATCTCCAGGGGTTTAAAGCCTGGGTAGATCAGTATGGAGAAGCTGCCACCCATGAAGCAGGTCCCCACTCTCCATGTTAATGAAAGTTTCCAATGGAAAGGCAAACGGCAATATGCTTGGTTCCAGAACCGTCGCAACTGCCAAGTGCTGTTGAGGGTTGGGTTGGATCCCACAGCTTCAAACCTTTTTGTGCAGTCAGTGTGGTCTAGCGGTATAATACTGGATATGCTAAGGTGCGTGGATTCCTATCTGGATTAGAATCCTTCAAGGGGGAGGAGTTTTCGTTTTTTCTGCTGGGTGTTGTCTAAAGTTTGTTAAACTTCACTTGTGGATTAAGCAAGTTAGTGCAGTTTTAGACACGAGTTTTCTCACATTGACAGTGGCTTGATGAAAGAACGTGAATTAATCCCTCACCACTTTGGTGACCTTGGGAGATAGAGAAATTTTAGGTAAATACCTCCAACTCTCTATCTCTTTTAAGAGTCTGATGTTGGTGCAGTGGACTAAGGCGAACTAGTTATGGCAGCTACTGGAAGGTAGTTGTGCTTTCTGGGTTCGAGCCCCACTGGTGGGTGATGTCTAATATATATATATATATATATATATATATATATATATATATATATATATATATATATATATATATATATACTAGTATATTTTGGTAGCAGTCTTTCTTGTAAACATATGTTGTTAAATATGACTGAAAAAGTAAGATTAATAATTCTAACACGAATTTTCTCAATATTTTTTGTTTTTCTTCACTGTCGGTGGTAATAAAAATATCAATTCTCCAAAATTGATTTGTTAATTATCTGACGTCTGAACGCGTTTTGGAATATATATATATATATATATATATATATATATATATATATATATATATATATATATATATATATATATATATATATATTATTAAATATGACCGAAAAAGTAAGATTAATAATTCTAACACGAATTTTCTCAATCTTTCGTACATTACGCTTCACTGTTGGAGGTAAATCAAAAATTAATTCTCCAAAATTCATTTTTATTTCTAGTCTGACGCGACACGGGCGCGTTTCGTAAAACTTATTACATTTTCAAAGACTTTAGTTCACAAATACACAACTGAATAGAACTTACGTATCTCCGATTTTATATCTACATTTGAGTGAGGTGGGAGGGGTGATGTGGCATTAACACAAGACAGAACAAGAGGGAATATTAATAGGGTATTAAAAGTATCAACACAAGACAGAACACAAACAATGGGTATTGAATAGAAGTGTTTGTAGAAAGCCTATTGGTCCATATTTCTTGATGCTTCTATATTGGAGCGGAGTCTTGAGGTGGGTAGAATATAGTTGTGCAATAATTGGCTGTTGATTGCTGGTGTTGACTTCTTGATGTGTAGTGCCTCGCAAACGTCAAGCCGCCTGCTATCGCTGTATCTATCGATGATTTCTGTGTTGTTTACTAGGATTTCTCTGGCGATGGTTTGGTTGTGGGAAGAGATTATATGTTCCTTAATGGAGCCCTGTTGCTTATGCATCGTTAAACGCCTAGAAAGAGATGTTGTTGTCTTGCCTATATACTGGGTTTTTGGAGCTTACAGTCCCCAAGTGGGCATTTGAAGGCATAGACAACGTTAGTCTCTTTTAAAGCGTTCTGTTTTGTGTCTGGAGAGTTTCTCATGAGTAGGCTGGCCGTTTTTCTGGTTTTATAGTAAATCGTCAGTTGTATCCTCTGATTTTTGTCTGTAGGGATAACGTTTCTATTAACAATATCTCTCAGGACCCTTTCCTCCGTTTTATGAGCTGTGGAAAAGAAGTTCCTGTAAAATAGTCTAATAGGGGGTATAGGTGTTGTGTTAGTTGTCTCTTCAGAGGTTGCATGGCTTTTCACTTTCCTTCTTATGATGTCTTCGACGAAACCATTGGAGAAGCCGTTATTGACTAGGACCTGCCTTACCCTACAGAGTTCTTCGTCGACTTGCTTCCATTCTGAGCTGTGGCTGAGAGCACGGTCGACATATGCGTTAACAACACTCCTCTTGTACCTGTCAGGGCAGTCGCTGTTGGCATTTAGGCACATTCCTATGTTTGTTTCCTTAGTGTAGACTGCAGTGTGGAAACCTCCGCCCTTTTCCATGACTGTTACATCTAGAAAGGGCAGCTTCCCATCCTTTTCCATCTCGTAAGTGAAACGCAGCACGGAACTCTGCTCAAATGCCTCCTTCAGCTCCTGCAGATGTCTGACATCAGGTACCTGTGTAAAAATGTCGTCAACATACCTGCAGTATATGGCCGGTTTCAAGTTCATGTCGACTAAGACTTTTTGCTCGATGGTACCCATATAGAAGTTTGCAAACAGGACACCTAGGGGAGAACCCATGGCGACCCCATCTACTTGCTTATACATGTGCCCATCCGGGCTCAAGAAGGGTGCCTCTTTAGTACAAGCTTGGAGTAGTTTCCTCAGAATATTTTCTGGTATGTCAAGAGGAGTACAGGCTGGATCACGATACACTCTGTCGGCTATCATTCCGATTGTCTCGTCCACAGGTACGTTGGTAAACAGCGATTCTACGTCCAACGAGGCTCTTATCCCTGTGGCCCGTGTGCCCCGCAGTAAGTCAACAAATTCCTTTGGAGACTTCAGGCTGAAGGCGCAAGGAACATAAGGAGTCAGCAGGCCGTTGAGTCGCTTCGCCAGTCTGTACGTGGGTGTGGGTATCTGGCTAATGATTGGCCGAAGTGGGTTTCCAGGCTTGTGCGTCTTGACATTTCCATACGCATATCCAGGTTTATATTCCCCAATGATCTTTGGCAGGTGGAGTCCGGATTTCTTGGCGTTCACAGTTCTTGAGGACCAAGTCACTCTCCTAAATCTGGGCATAAACTGTCATGTTATGTCCAGACCGAGTGAGATGGCCCGGAAAGTAGAGTTGGAAATTCTGTTGGACGACATATTCGACCTCGAGACACAAAAGAAGGTCACTACCAAAGATACCTTACAAGCAGAACTTATTGCAGAAGGAGGAAAGAATCGAGGCAACTACAGAAGCACCATACTGTCCCCCGAGCTTAAAGCGGCAGCTAAAAGCCTTCGTGAGAACAAGGAGATAGTTGTCAGGAGAGGTGACAAGTCGCCAATATATGTCATTCTTAAAAAAGACGAATATCTGGCGAAAATGAACATCATACTCTCTGACCAAACTAAGTTCCAAAGGGTAACGAAGGACACTACAGCCGAATTAAAAGCAAAGGTCAACAAACTGATCGAAACTGTGAATGCCAAGAAATCCGGACTCCACCTGCCAAAGATCATTGGGGAATATAAACCTGGATATGCGTATGGAAATGTCAAGACGCACAAGCCTGGAAACCCACTTCGGCCAATCATTAGCCAGATACCCACACCCACGTACAGACTGGCGAAGCGACTCAACGGCCTGCTGACTCCTTATGTTCCTTGCGCCTTCAGCCTGAAGTCTCCAAAGGAATTTGTTGACTTACTGCGGGGCACACGGGCCACAGGGATAAGAGCCTCGTT